GCCAAGATCCACCATAGAATCACATCTAATAAAGACCTGACCAGCACAACACCAAGACCACAGGGGCAATATTTGTTTTGAAGGACTTTCTTTCCTATGGGGGATGTTAACTTTCATTCATGTTCCTGCCTTTTCTTGGCAGTAATATTTTGCAAAATCCTGTGTTTTCTAACCCATGCTGTAAGTCATAGTGTTACAAGTACATATGAACATGCTCCAACACCTTACCTCTTCATTTGTGATATATGTCTTAATTAGACTAATGACTGTTCTGTATGAATTTTGAGAAAAACTAAAATGTATTTCTGGGGATCAAGGAAAGAAATGTACTCCATGGGTCTTCTGAGATGATTTGGCAGATAAGGGCATTTATCAAGACCCGTGATAGGAGTTCAATCCCTGTGACCCATATGGTGGAAGAAGAGAGCCAACTCTGGCAAGTATGTCCTCTAACCTGCATTCCCCCAATAGATAAACATAATAAAAAAGAAACATACTCTATGCAAAACAAAGTATTGCTTTCATAGTTGTTTAGATATAGTTTCTTTTTTAATTATTATTTTTTATTTGCTATGCATGAGTGTTTTGCCTGCATATGTATCTGTGCACCATGTGCATGTCTGGTGCCCCTGAAGATGAGAAGGCATTAGAGCCCCTAGAACTGGAGTTACAGACAGTTGTGAACTGCAGGGAATGGAACCTGGGTCCTCTGGAAGAACAGTGCTCTTAACCTCTGAGCCATTTCTCTAGCCCTTGGATACACTTTCTACCATGCATCAAATAAATCAAGAGTTTAATCAGAAGAAAACTGGCAAAAATATGAGAACAAATGTTCTAGTGAAGAATCACAAGCAGATACTTGGTGTAGGAGGTTCTTTTGTTCATGTGTTGCTTTCATTGGCTAATGAATACAGAAACTGCTTTGGGCCTGATACGGCAGAACTTAGGTAAGTGGAGAAGACAGAACTGAAGACAGAACTGAATGCTGGGAAGAAGAGCAGAGTCAGAGATCTGCATGGAGCTGCCAGAGTCAGACATGCTGAATTTTTCTCAGCAAGCCACTGCCACGTGGGGATATACAGATTAATAGAAATGGATTAAATTAAGATGTGAGACTTAGCCAATAAGAAACTAGAGCTAATGGACCAAGCAGTGTTTTAATGAATACAGTTTCTGAGTGATTATTTTGGGTATAAGATAGCCGGGCGGCTGGGACAAACAAAGAGCTCCCCTCATTGAAACAATTGGTGCTCCAATGTGGTCAACTGGATCCACGTAAAACCTGCGAGGGCTTGAAAAGGGAATTCTAGACTATACATACATACATACATACATACATACATACATACACACACACAGAGAGAGTTTAACACAGCTTTTTGCTGTTTGCTGGTGGCGTGCCGCAGAGACATTTTCCTGACTCAGTAGCTGCAGCAGGAAAAAAGTGGCAGTTTTGAAATGCCTACTTTATGTACTGTGCCACCAGCATGACCACTGACTCTTTTGGGAGACAGAGTATTTGGATGGGATTTGTGAGTGGATTGCTCCGGCTTGCTTGATTGCAACTTGGACCGGCTGTGTGCCTGGAAGTTAGGCCATGTGCGTGGTTCAGAGGCTCGAGCAACTCAGCCATGCAGGACTGGATGGGGCAAGCAGGTACTGATGTATTACTCAAGCAATGACACAACTTAAGTTTTTAAAAAGCGCTTAGCATTTTAAGAAGTGCTCCTGGACAGTAAAGAATTACAGATTCACAATAGGACAGATTCAGATATAAAAGACCTCTAAATGGGTCACAGTGTTGGATAGGCTTGGGAGAAGGAAAAGGGTAGAGAGAGTCATAAAATAAAGTTAATGCTTAAAAAGGAGGGTAAAGTCTTTAAGGAGACAGAGTACAGATAGTCATAGACTAAAAGGAGTAAAGAAAAATAAGCCACGGTGGTGGCGCACGCCTTTAATCCCAGCACTTGGGAGGCAGAGGCAGGCAGGTCTCTGGGAGTTCGAGACCAGCCTGGTCTACAAGAGCTAGTTCCAGGACAGGCTCCAAAACCACAGAGAAACCCTGTCTCGAAAAACCAAAAAAAAAAAAAGGAAAATTCACAGAGTCTGGATTACGTGTGTTACTGTGTTTTCTTTGAATTTTTTGACTTTGAAGGAGCTAAATACAGAGAGACATTTCATTACATGGGCTGCTAAGATAAACCAGCATGTATATTATAAAAGTACCACGATTTCCAAATTTGAATCTAAGGATAAGTTGCTTTGAAAAGGAGGTTCTTCTTTTGTTTTCACAGAAGATTAGAACTTGTTGATTGCTTCTACACCAATATGGTTTCATGAACCAAGACCTCCTGAAAGGTCGCCATGAACACCCTCAAAAAATTACTTTGCCCAACTGGTGACTGAGATGAACCTATCACACAGGATACACCATAAAAGACCTGATTAACAGTGCCCCAATATAGCAGGAAGAAGTTTGGAGAAAAATAACTATGCCCATATTCCCAAATATTGCTTATAACTGTTTGTTTATATTTAAAGGGGATATGATATAGATATGAATAATTTACATTAGTATGGATTTTGGTTTGTTTATACAAATTTAAGGTCAATTTTGTTATATATATATGTGTGTGTGTGTATTTCTGATCTTGATTAAGGTATTGTGATTGCGTAGCTCATTTAAAAATGTAATATATAATTAACAAATATAGGTTAATAGAGTCATCTTTATTAGTCAAGCTTATAGTCATGTTAGTTAGATTTTCTAGATATATAGAGATATATTTCAGTCAGATAGGTATTCTTCAAGTTTTTCAGAGACCTTCAGAATATGGCATATAAATGTTTTAAAAATTTAGGACTTTTCATGCCAATGAGACACATCTGCTCCTGGCAGCACAAGCTACTTCAAAAGGAAGATGGGCATTGAAGAAGCTCCTTATGGAGGTGGTTAGCCATTTGGGCAAGAAACTGCTCTTACCTGGACTGCTTCACTGGACATGCAGGACCTGCAGAGAAATGACTGCTGAACTTGCCTAAAGGTGAGATGATCCTTCAGAGTTCCTGCTTCATGAGAGTCTATGAAACATTCTACAGGACACAGAAGAAAGTGACTGAAAACTGCCAATATAGGCAGAACTGGCTTTGAAATTTCCTGCTTTGTGGAAAAGTCTGCTGGATACTATGGACCTGTAGGCTGAAGATCGATGCCCCAATGGTACGGAAGAACTTTGAATGGCTGTCCAGGCAGCAAGATGTTTCTGTCAATTCTAGAGTTTTTGAAATTGTTTATAATGTACTTCATGTTTACTTAGGTAATATTATATCCTTCTGGAGTCTTTGATGGAATTGAAGAATTTATAGTTATAGTTTTCCTTAGTTATGATAAAAGATAAAGTAGATATAAATATTGTAACTGTAATTCTTGCTTGATAACTGCTTTGTTATATGTATTTTTACTATGTTAAATTTAAAGCCTTCCTTTTTGTTTAAACAGAAAAGGGGAAATGGTATAGGAGGTTCTTCTGTTCATGTGTTGCTTTCATTAGTTAATGAATATAATGCTTTGGGCCTGATAGTGCAGAACTTAGGTAGGTGGAGAAGACAACTGAATGCTGGGAAGAAGAGCAGAGTCAGAGAGAAGCCATGGACCTTCTGCCTGAGACGGACGCTGGTTAGAATCTTGCCAGTAAACCACAGTCACGTGGCGATACACAGATTAATAGAAATGGGTTAAATTAAGATGTAAGAATTAGCCAATAAGAAACTAGAGCTAATGGGCCAAGCAGTGTTTTAATGAATACAGTTTCTGTGTGATTATTTCGGGTGTAAGATAGCAGGGTGGCCAGGACAAACAAAGGACCCCCCCCCCTCTCACTGCAACAGATACTAAAAAAAAAATCTTTCATCCAAAGTCTGCTGCTCAGTTCCTTGTATCAACTGGGGATCAATAAATGCTATCTACTGTTAAGAGGGCACAGATATCTTAAAATGGAAATGAAACTTTTCTACTTTGAAGCTTCTAGGTTTCTGTTTATTAGAAAATTCTGGGCAAGGAGCTGGCTTTAGTGGTGCATATCTTTACTCCCAGTATTCAGGAGGCTGAGGCAGAAGGATCAGAAATTCCAGGTTAGCCTGGGCCATACAGGAAGACTCTGTCTCAAAACCCCAACCAATCAACCAACCAAATGAAAATTCTACATAAAATACACAATGAGACCATATTGAAAGGTGTCTCGAGACCGAATACTAGTTGTAATAAGAAAGAAGTATTTGTAAATCTTCAAGGGCACTTGAAACAATAATAAATGATCTAGTGAACACTGCCAATGTTAAATAGGAAAATTCCTGCTGTTGAACATACGGTAATAAGGTCTTTATTGTAATGCTGTAACCTGTAGCGTGGACCGAACAGGAAAGCTGTATATGTGGGGCATTTTGTTATTCTGTTTAGGTTCATACTGACTCTACACTGCAAGGAGCTATATAGGACCAGTTCTGAGCTGTGTCCCCGAGAAATGATTAGAGTACAGTATTTGGAAAATCTAGTAGCGTCAGGGAGAAGCATGGCAGAGAGAAAGATGCACGCTAGTGTGCAGTCAGGAAGAGCTGAATCCTAACAGCAAATGAGTAGCTGTGTAATTAACCTCCTCAACCTTCACTTTTCTCATTTGTAAAATGAGTTCCATGCCTTGAGAGACTGCTGTGTGGATTAGAGGGCATACAGGCATGCACATACATGCACGTTCCATCTGGTGGAGTGTCTAATGCTCAAAAAAATGGCAGAGGTATCATTAGGAACTCAAATGAACAGTCCTATATAAAAACTCTGGACCAATGTAATTGAGGTACATCAGCATAGTTCGTCTGGGCTTAGGACCAGATTTAGATTAACTGTACATAAATGAAAAGTTCTAAGAACGTTTTATGTTAGAGAAGAAAAGAGATGCAAATGGCAGGGCAGCCAAAAGAGCACAAGGTAACAGGCCCAAACTTACGCCGCTCTTCTCTGTGCCTCTCAGTCTCTGCAAAGTACTGGCGGAGCTCCTCCGTGATTTCCATATTGCTCAGGTCACATTCTATTTCATTATCTGAATCTGACTCCATCTCTTCCTCTTCATATGGGGCTTCATCTTCTCTTGTGGTGGCCTGGATTCTACTGCTATCATACAGAGGCTGCCCAGAGCTTTGGAGATGGGAAACACTGTAGGGAGGCTCCTGCAAGACCATGTGTTGGTCTTGATAGTTCCAAGGATGCCCAGCCTCAGAAGCAACAGGGTTCCAGGGAAGAACTCCTTGAGGGTAGAACCATGGGGAAGTGAAACAGGAATTCCTGAACTTCCTGTAAACATTTTGGTGGGATCGCATCCAAACCATTGCATGATGATAATGTCGCCAATATCTTGCATATACTGGGTGAGAATACCAAGATTCACTAGTTCTCCATTTTGAAGTCTATGGAATGGACACATAAGAGACATCAAATGATTCGTCCTCTAGAGATTAAACATTCAAATGTTTAAACGACTAACCAACAGCTATTCACTGAGTGCTATCATTTCTTTTTCTGTTGCTGTGATAAAATACCAGGAACAAGAACAATTTCTAGAAGAAAGCATTAAAGAGGGCCCTGTGCTTCCAGAGTTAGTCCATTACAGTTGGGAGGCATGGCAGCAAGAATCAGGCACAGGAGCCTGAGCAGAAAGCTGAGACACCACATCTTCAACCATAAACTAAGCTAGAGAGTAAACGGAAAGGGGGACAAGGCTATAAATTCTCAAAGCCCACTCCATGTGATGTACTTTCTCCAGCAAGGCTACATTCTTCAATAACCTCCCCAAACAGTGTCACCGACTGAGGATCAGTGTTCAATTACACCAGCCTACAGGAGAGATTTCCCACTCAAACCACCACACTAATACTGAATATCTACTTCCACAAGGATGCTACTAAGCATAAATAAAAAGAAAAATGTGTCAAACAGGTTTGTACCCACAACAGGGGGCAAATGTAATATATTTCCTGAGTTACCCACAGGACTATAGCTGAAGGTTATGGAGGCTTATATAATGTGATGATTGGTGTTGACAACATCACAGGATTTAGAATCAGATCTCTGGGTTCAACTGTGGGGGATTCTGTCAATTGCATCTGGAAGACCAGTCCAGTAGGTGGCACCATTCCCTGGCAAGGATTCTAGAGTGTAAATGAAGCAGAAGCATGAATTCCTCACCCCTTGCTCCTGACTGTATCCAATATTACCGCCACGATGAACCGTACCTTTGAACTGGGAGCCAAAATTATTTTTTCTCCCTTAATGTGCAGTTATCTGAGAATTTTATCACAACAACAGGAAAAGAAACCAAGGCATCGAGGACAGAGGCAAATAAAGACTGTTTTCACTAAAAAAGCCTTCATTTAATTCACAGTATTTCTAGCAAGAGTCTACTTTAAGTTTTTTATTAGTATATGTAATAACAGCTTCATGACGACATCTCCATACTAGTACATAATGTATTTAGAACATATTCATCCCTATTATACTTCCCCCTTTTCTACTTTACCGGTTGCTTTCTGTAAGATAAGAAAAAGTCCTGACACTTGTCATTTTGGCTATCTATACTACTTCCAAGATAGAAATGAACTGCCAATTCTAATGACCCCAATAGCCTCTGGTTCCTTTTCTTGTTTCTTACTAATCTGCTAGCTTAGTTCACTCCTCAATGTCTGAGACATATATATCTAACAGCACACGAGATGGGGCTTTTATTTTTAGTTGCTGATAGACAGGTTGAGTATTCCTTATCTGAAATGCTGGGGCCACAAGTGTTTCAGATCTCAGCAGCATGTGGAATGGCTGCATACATCTTTACTAGAAATCCGTGATCTGTACTACCTCAAAATCTGAAATAGTGTGTGTGTGTGTGTGTGTGTGTTGTATTTGTGTACAAACATTTTTGGACTCTGAATGTCTTGGAAGAATGAGTTCATCAAGATTTTAGGGGGTGGTTGGAGTGGGAGGACTATTAGGGGTTGAACATAGGGGTGCTGTGCATGCTAGGCAAGTGCTTTACCGGTCAGCTATATCCTCATCCTAAATGTCAATAAAGACTAACTTTAAAAAATTCATAAGGAAAATAGGTAATCTTACCATTGCTGCTATCGCTGATTGGAAATTCCAAGTGGGCACTGAAAAGACAAACACAGTATGAACATTTGATCAGCACTGCTATAGTACGGTCACAGCTATTTCATGGTCTTCAAAATAGCTCTTAAGAGGTTGCCCTTGCCAGCATCATGCCCGATCTTCATGCACAAGAACCTGTTACCTGGCTTGTGATCTCATGATCTGGGGAAGAACAATTTCCTTTGGTATAAGTGAGTCAAAGGGCCATGCCTGGTTTTGTATTCACCTACTTGTTTGTTGAAAGAAAAGTCTATAAAAATAATCACATAACTTAGTATGTGTATAGAAAAACCCACTACAGAGCATGAGCTCCAAGCTCACAACAGTACTTCACTAGTGTAAGCATAGGCTAATGTCTATTTAAAATAACCACAGTTTCTCTTTTTCTTCGTGAACATTTATTTATTATTTATTTTGTATGTGGGTGCGCTAGGTGCGCCATGCATGTGTGTGGAAGTCACATGTGAATGAATCAGTTCTCTTTTCTCCTGTGGCTCTGGGATTGACTCAGGTTGTCATGCTTGGTGGTATGTAGGCAGCTTGGCCCATGGAGCCACCTTGTCAGCCCAATCATGAGGCTTGAGAAGATTATCTTTCCAACTGACTGGACGCCTCTGTTGGGTCTTGCCTTAAACTTGCAGAAGTCTCTTGAAACAAGAGGATTCTCTAGTCTCTGCTTTGGTTTTGGTTTCCTATGATATCCTTTCTTTAATCATTCCGTTTCCAGAGGCATAGCATGTTCTAACTGCGTTTGCCAAAGCACTGCTTTGCCAGTTTGGCTCCTTCTCCTACTACCTAGCCACTCACTCATCCACTGAACAACCTGCCTAAATAGAAGTCTAAGCTCCATCTGCACATCTTATACAACCCACAAAAATTAATGTTTGGGCTGTTGAGACTGCTCAGCAGGCAGACATGCTTGCCACATGAGACTGATGAGCTGGAAACCACAGTGGACAGAAAGATTCCCAAAAGTTGTCCTCTGACCTTGGCCTGTACACACACACACACACACACACACACACACACACACACACACTGAATTAAAAGTTAATTTCTTCTCCTTGTTTAGAGTTTGGTTTTTTTTTTTTTTTTTTTTTTTTTGTTTTTCAAGACAGGGTTTCTCTGTGGCTTTGGAGCCTGTCCTGGAACTAGCTCTGTAGACCAGGCTGGTCTCGAACTCACAGAGATCCACCTGCCTCTGCCTCCTGAGTGCTGGGATTAAAGGCGTGCGCCACGTTGGTTAGAGTTTTTAAAATGCCTGACAACACCAGAATGTACTTTTAAAATAGTTATATCAGGCATAGTGGTGCATGCCTGTAATTCCAGCACTTGGGAGGTGGGGGGGGGGGGATCACAAGGTCAGTATGGACTGTGGAGATCTTCCCTGAAAACAAACAAACAGATAAAGAAACAAGAAATATCTTAAAATGATTGTAAATTTAAGATCATATAAGACAAAAACACCAACAATGTGATACTTAAGGTTTTAGACATTTTAGAAATCAGATTCTGAAGAAGCCCTATTTGTTTTACTTAACTAGAAGCTAGAAAAAACCCAAACTGTTAAAAATCTGACATAATTTGTGACCTCAGTAAAATGTTTTCATGAGTATGTTAAAAACTAAGATGCTGCACTGACTATCCTTGTTTTCAGATTTATCTTAAAAGAGAATCCTTCATATTGAAATGTAGCAAGCTTTCAAATAGGGTATTGATAACAGGGTTGTCATGACCTTCTACAGACTTCTTTTAAACACAAGTACCTTGTAAATTCAGAGATGTAACACAGGCTTGCGAACACACACGCGCGCGCGCACACACACACACACACACACACACACACACACACACTGGATAGAAACCTGGAGAAAGTAATCAAATGCAATGAGTGTGTAAGCTGAATTGATCTTTTCAACTCTAATTTAAAGGTGTAAAACTGGGTCCATTTCCTGGAAACACAGCTAGCAGCTAATGTTCTTTATAGGCTATGGAGGAAATAGAAAATAGTAATTGGGTGTGTTACCATCTAACAAAATAAAATGAAAGGCAATTATGGTAGAAATCAGTGCACATTTAAGTGCTAAACTGCAAGGAAGCCTGTAAGTGGCTAATTGACTAAAACCAGGTTTCATATATCTATCACTGAAATCTAAAGAGCTTTCAGTGCCTGCAGCACACAATGACATCAAGATGAACTCCATGCGTGTCCTAATCAAATTTGTTTTCTAGGTTAATAAAGAGCATAGGGATTAAATGTAGAAAGTCAAGAGTAATCAAGTGTCTTCTGGAAATTAAGAGTTTTGGTTTGCATCCTAGCTGGGTATGGCAGTGCATGCCTGTGACCCCAATTCTCATGAGTCTGAAGCGGGAGAATAGAAAGTTTGGCTGAAGAAATAGAAGCAGTCATCAAAAGTCCCCCCCTCCCCCCAAAAAAAGGACCAGATGGTTTCAGCTCAGAATTCTACAAGACTTTCAAAGAACTACTAATACCAATACTCCTCAAATTATTCCATACAATAGAAACAGAAGAAACATTGCCAAACTCTTTTTATGAAAACACAATTACCCTGATACCCAAACCACAGAAAGACATTACTAAGAAAGAGAATTACAGACCAATCTCACTCATGAACATTGATACAAAAATACTAAATAAAATACTGGCAAATCGAATCCAAGAACACATCAGAACTGTCATCTACCATGATCAAGTTGGCTTCATCCCAGAGATTCAGGGATGGTTCAACATACGAAAATATGTCAATGTAATCGACCATATAAACAAACTGAAAAATAAAAACCACATGATCATCTCATTAGATACTGAAAAAGAATTTGACAAAATACAACATCCCTTCATGATAAAGATCTTGGAGTAAGCAGGGTTACAAGAAACATACCTAAACACAATTAAGGCAATATACAGCAAGCCAATAGCCAACATCAAACTAAATGGAGAGAAACTCCCAACGATCCCACTGAAATCAGAAACAAGACAAGGTTGTCCACTCCCCATATCTATTCAATATAGTTCTTGAGGTTCTAGCTAGAGCAATAAGACAACAAAAGGAGATAAGGGGATACAAATTGGAAAAAAAAAAAGAAGTCAAACTCTCACTGTTTGCTGATGATATAATAGTTTATATAAGTGATCCCAAAAATTCTACCAGGACTTCTACAACTCATAAACAATTTCAGTAATATAGCAGGATACAAGATTAACTAAAAAAAAATCAGTAGCCCTCCTGTACACAAATGGTAAAAAGTTGGGAAAGAAATCAGAGAAACATCACCCTTCACAACAGCCACAAATAGCATAAAATATCTTGGAATAACTCTAACCAAACAATTGGAAGACTTGTATGACAAGAACTTTAAATCTTTGAAGAAAGAAACTGAAGAAGACACAAGAAGTGGAAAGGTATCCCATGCTCTTAGGTAGGTAGAATTAACATAGAAAAAATGGCAATCTTACCAAAAGCAATCTACAGATTCAACACAATGCCCATCAAAATCTCAGGAAAATTCTTGACAGAACTCAAAAGAACGATACTCAACTTCATACAGAAAGGCAAAAAAAAAAAAAAAAAAAAAAAAAAAAAAAAAAAAAAAAAAAAAA